TTTTTGTTTACGTATACCCAATGTCTATTTCTGTTTCTGTTGAATAAGTGCCAATGTCTGTGTCTAAAGCGTCCAGTAACGCTGATGTAACTCAACTTGTACGTTTTCACAAAGTAGTAGCTTGAATAATGGCCTTGTGTAGCTACAGCTGTTACTTTTCTTACTGTCCTTAAATCAACCTGTAAATATCGATTCTTGCTTCCGCTTATAAGCCATCCGTAATGCACATTGATTCGGGCGTAAGATGGTTTACCTCCACCGAAAGCGGAGAACTCGTTGTTCTTAATTCTATAGTCTTCAGCTCCAAGTGGTTCTGAACAAACTTCATGAATATAATTTTAATCAAAGAATCTGGTTGAGGTAGCGCGTCAACATCTGTTTTAATTCTTAACATAGAATATGTACCAGTATTAATTAACTCCTGAAGGACCACAATCACATGTGCTAAAAATGTATATACCCTGACAATACGATAACGCCTTGAAAACAGGCCCAAAAATCAGGAGGAGCCGACAGAGTCTGTTCTTCTAAAATAACTGTTTCTGTACAAATTTATTTTACCTGGGAGAGGATTTTGAGCTACGTTGTTGACAATCTCACAAGCAAATGTGGCGCCCTTTCTTCTTAAAATAATTTTGTTCCTGGCAAAGATTTTTTTTTAAAGGTCAAAGACGGATTAAATGTTTTTAGTTAGGAAATTTTTAATTTCCTGGCAAAAATTCTTAGAGAGTATTCCTTACTTGGAGAGTTTTTTACCCTGAATTTCTCGCTCGCAACCAGTTGTGACTTACTTGACTTACAGCTGGCTGGGACATAAGAACAGAATTAAGTATATTTCAAATAGGAACCCATCGGCTCCTCCAGAAAAATACCGCTTGGCTCAGTCTAATGCTTTTTTATGTCGTTTTACATTATTGAGGGTCAGGAACTGAAGTAACATTATTTAAATTCTCAGTACTTTTACAGCAAATGAAGTTAAAATTAATGCAAATGAGTAAATTTTCATACCATGTTTGCAGCCATACAATTCGACACGTAAGCAGTACCAGCCATAGTAATGTCGAGGCCATAGGCGGACATATCGAGCTACGATGCTGTATTTTAGGGTATTGGTATGGATGCTGTTAGGTGTCCAGCCATTACCTGCAAAGTACTATAAACTAGACGCATAACTGCGTAAACTCGGGGTTCTTGTTGATAAAATAGTAGTGAATTTGGTAAGGCTCGTTTACACTTGCGTGTTTGCCATATATTTACTATATAATTCGCTTTTGATAAGATGGGTAGCTAGTTTGATAGACAATTCATGATATGCAGTAATATAAATATCACAATTTTAATAACTTAAAAGTCATTTAGAGAAATTAAAAAAATAACTGTGTCTACGCCAACTTCGTATTATTAAAAGAACATGAATAAATATCAAGACAATAACAACAATCTTATTTACAAGTCATTTACAAGTCAAGTCATTTTACATGTAAGACAAAATTAAGATAAACCTCTTTTGACAGACTCGATGATAAACAACCCATCTTAGCTTTCTACTTTTGTTATGTAAGCGTCTTAGAAATCGTTTTGGTATCCTACTGGGCTCTCGACTACGACTACAACGTACATGTCGATAATTATAATAAACAAACCTTGAATAACGAGATCTTGAAGTACTTGTAATGTTTATTGTAACTTCTGCATCATTGTATACACCATAAACAGTCATACAAATAGCCGACTTGCGAATTACGCATCAATAGTCACATACAAAGGAATCAAGACGAGGCGCCGTGCTTTTTTGTGAAAAATCTATTGACTTTAGCACGGCGCCTCGTCTTGATTCCTTTGTATGTGACTATTGATGCGTAATTCGCAAGTCGGCTATAGTTTTATCTATGATATCACAATCACTAAACGATGAAGTGACAATATTTTGAGTGTAGTTATCGAAGAATTGGACTGTATTGAACCCTAATAAAGTTAATATCAATACTATCAAAAGGGTAAAGCAAAAAATATTTCCTTGAATGAAAAATAATAACAGAAGCAATGTAGTTAGCATTAAGGAAGAATTGATAGTCTTTGTCAAGCTCTCCTCTCTTTGATAGTCACGTGGCAGGCTATAAAGACAGAGTCTTTTATCCTCTCTRCTAAATAAAATAGTTGCAATCGTCGGTTTTTCCTCAGTGAATTCTGTTCGCATTCCTTAGAGAAGTCCTTTGTATTTTCAGAGCCTGTAGAATCAGTTAGTATAGAGTTCGCTTTTGATAAGATTGGTTCGAATTTCACGATAAGTTTCACGATAAATTTCAAGATAAATTCGCGGTATCTCTCAAAATGCCCTCGACATCTTTTAGTGTGGCTATACGGCGAATGGTGTGTGGATTTGTAAGAGATTTGAGCATGTTTGAAGTTGAATTCATGTCTTCCATCTCGTATAAAGACGACACCTCGACGACACCATAAGATAGCACATGGAAGTTGTGAGTGTCACGTGATTCGTACCCAGTGCATTCTAATTTGGCCGAGACAATTTGTGTACCAAATGCGACAAAGAAGGCCGAAACCTAAACTCGGCGGTTCCACAGGAACCCCGAGTAAAAAATGCTCAGTGCTAGTTTGTGCAGGTGCAGGTGCAGGTGCTACTGGAAAGACGTTTATTTCTTGCATTAATTAGTTACCTTATAACTTCGAGAACTGTCAGGTTTCCTATAATATGTCCAGTGGATTCCATCAATACTGTACTGCAGGTAGTAACTGATCGTTCTATAGCTTGATYGATATCTCCCTTGTGTAGCGACTTTAGTAATGGTTTTGACTTCCCCTAAGTCTATCTGGAGATACTGTCCACTAGAGGTAGTGCACCAAGTATGTTGATAGTTCAGCCTACCATAGCGAGGGTAGTACGATGAGTAGTAGTGAGATGCTGTGATGGCGTTGTCAGGGATTCGCTTGTCCTCCATCCCCAGAGGAATTATGCATCTTTGAACTATTACAATGAAATGCAGACTTTTAGACAACAATTGTTATCAACTTTTAAAATTTTTAAAATTAAATTTTAAATTTAAAACTTTTAAATTTTTTATTAAAATAACTCCCCATGCACTCATGAATGAAAAAAAAACGTTCACCGGTGTGATCAACTGAGATACTCAAGTAATAGTTAATTCAAACTAGAAAATTGTACGATCATTTACGTAACAACAGATTAGTAAGTATAAGACTGAATTCTTGTGAGTTCAAAGTTTAAAGTTGAACATCTTCAAGGCGAATGCCTCCGACATCAGGACATAGAAAACATACTGAGAAAACATTAAGATTGTTACAACCAATAATAGGGCAATAGTGAGTAGCAATAATTTCTTTCCATGACTAAAGAATGGAAGGATGCAATCAGGAAAAAACGAAAGTACTCTAGGATGTTTTCAAAAAAATCCAACAAGCGAAAATCGTGAAAATAAGAACAAATGGAGGAACACTGCAACTAAACTAAGGAGAAAAGCAATCAAACAATACTGGAGTAAAGTAACTGATGATCTCAATGCAAAACCAAGTGWGTTTTACAAAACATTCAAACCTTTTTTGGATAATCGTTCTAAGGATAGTGATAAGCAGATTACACTTGAATTAGATGGACACACCATCAAAGATCAGCCAAAAGTCGCCAATTGCTTCTTAAATTATTTCACTTCGGCAGCAAATGGGATAGGAAACACGCAATTACTGAGTCTATCAGAGGAACAGTTCAAAAGTCACGAAAGTATCCTTAAAATCGAAAGCAACAATAACATAGTACACGGCCCTAAACTGGAAATTGCAAAACTAAAATGTGGGGAAGTACAAAAAGCCTTGAGTGAGCTCAACCTGAAAAAAGGAGTTGGACATGACAAAATACCTAACATGGTCTTAAAGTTAGGGTGCAATKAGCTTGCACCTTCATTAACGACAATCTACAATAGATGCATAGATGAGAGTTACTGGCCTAGTGAATGGAAGAAAGGGGAATGGGTACCAGTATTTAAAAAGGACAATATTCATGATATCAAAAATTATAGACCAATCACGTTACTACCAACTTGTGACAAGGTTTTTGAAAAATTCTTAAGTGATCAGGTAATAGCCTTTATGGACCAACGACTCAGCAACAACCTCACGGCATACCGCAAAAAGCACAGCACAGAAACTACTCTGATTAACATTGTAGAACAATGGAAACACGCGATTGACAATAGAAATATGGTGGGAGTGCTATCTACTGATATGTCTAAGGCGTTTGACTCATTACACCCTCCTCTGCTGTTAAATAAGTTAAAGGCTTATGGATTTTCGGATGAATCTACCAAACTTATCCGTTCGTACTTTASAAAMAGACAATATCGAGTGAAAATGGACGAAGGTTGTACAAGTGAATGGAAAGAAATGGGAAGAGGATGCCCGCAGGGGTCGACATTTGGCCCACTGCTGTGGAACATTTTTCAAAATGACCTTACGTATGATATGAATAAAAGCAAATTATCAATGTATGCAGATGATCATCAGATTTATGCASCTGGTCCAACTTTAGAGGATGTACAGGACATACTGAATAATGAAGGCAGAGTTATATCTGAATGGTATGACAGTAATCTGTTACAAGGAAACTTCGCAAAGTATCAAACAATGAGTATGGGAACTAAGACAAAGAACAAAGATATGACAATCTCTATGGCAAACAAAAACATAACACGCAATTCTGAAATGAAATTACTAGGACTGACTATTGATGARAACCTCGACTTTAGAACACACATAGCAGAAGTGTGCAAGAAGGGTGCAAGGAAAGTTGGGGTACTGATGAGACTAAGGAACATGCTGCCTATCAGGTGTAAGATGACAATTTACAAAACAGTGATYCTACCTCAGTTAACTTACTGTCACACTGTCTGGAATTTTTGTCGTGCGTCAGACAGTAGAAAACTGGAACGTTTGCAAGAAAGAGCGTTAAGGGCGATTTTYAACAAGAAAWCKCAAAAATCATGTACATATGAGGATCTACTTGCTATGGCAAAGATACCTACACTAAAGAACAGGAGATTACAGGATATAGCTAAAATTATGTATAAAGTTAAAAATAGAATGTGCCCAAATACTCTGCAGGACATTTTTATCAAGAACACTAAGAGTTATAATCTTAGAAACAATGAATTTTTCATACCGAGATTTAACACAGTAACCTATGGGAAACATAGCTTGAGGTATTTGGGACCTTTAATTTGGTCTAAACTTGATAAAACAATACGTAATGCTGAAACGTTTGAATCTTTTAAAAAACTAATCCGATCGTCAGATCTTGATAGTAAAATTAATACTAACTGTAAAAATTGTCTTTTGTGTTCTTGTTAATTAACTACTATATAATTACTAATCACTAGTACTATTTGTATGGGTACTTATGGGGAGGGACTGCATTCTAGTATATATTATCTTTTTATATATTATAACTAGCTTAGATAGGTGTCCCCAATTAGCCTTACTATTGTAAGCTAGATAAATCTGACACGTAAATAAAGTTTATTATTATTATTATTTTCCTTTTTATGAAAATCGACTGTAGTGACTGCAAAATTAATCTTAAATACTATGACCAACAGGCAGTCGATGAAGTCATGTTTTCCATTTTTCAAAGATACATTCGCAATTCGTTTCCATCGGTCGATTTTTGGGAAATCAATCGTAACATCTTAATTCAAAGATCGAGGCGTGAAAAAAGACCAAGTTTTATTTTTGTCACCCACGTGCAGTATGTGTTTCTATTCTCAAAAATAAACTAAAGCTCGTAAGTGACTAATAAAAACAAATAAAACACAATACTGCAGA